TCTGTCCCAGCTGAAACCAGGACAGGAGGCAAAGCCAAAAAGTCCCTGTAGTTGTACCCAGCAGCTCCTCTACTTGTATGGGACCACCTGTGACTGCTATCCCTGAGCATCCATGTGGAGGGTGGGGCTCTTATGCTGTGGACACGAGAGGGACTGGGAGTGTGGCATGCCAATTTCTGGCTGTTAAAGTATTGATCCTGCAAGTGATTTTGGTCAGAAGCCATGTACTTCTGAATTTTTGCAGGCTCAGTTATGCTTTTGAAGCTTTTTCTGACTTCACCAGTGTCAAAGCACCAGCAAATATACAGAGAGCACCAATTATGCTGACTGGACAGTCTGACACAGATACGGTGTCTCTGGCCCAGGCTTCTCTTTGCTTGCAAGACATGTTTTCTCAGAGATGTTAGACTCCAAACCTTACTGGAACCCAAAAGAGAAATAAGAGTTTGAAAACTGAAAGCCTGCTGGTGTGTAGAACAGGATATGAATAACATTGCTTATACTGTGAGAAGCCTATCCACCGCACTTCCAAAGAACATGCTTCTGCCTCTCTGCCCTGGCTGGCTTTCCGAGAGGGCTTCCTGGAAAAAGTAAGATGTTAGGAGGAACACTGTGTGGAAGCCTTTTACTCGCAAGGTGCAGGTGTCTTAAGATACATCTTCGGTGCCAAACTGGGTTTGGGACTGGGTTTTATCCAAGAAAAACCTTGTTTTTAGCTGACCTCTGTTGAAAATGGATCGGTGGGTGGGAGAGAATTTTGGCAACAGAGTTCTGGGCAGCTTCTAGAGAAGTTCCTCAGAGTCTCCTTAGTTAAGGATGCTTGTGGAGAACCTGGCAGTGCTATGGCTGCCTAGTGACGTGATGCTGCTGCAGCCTCTGGAACAGAAAGTAGAGGGTATAGCTGGGACAGTGGCCACGCACCTCTGCACCTTCGTCTGGGGCAGCTGGAATTGGGGAACAGAGCTAAGTCTGAGTTACTAGAGATACTGCAGCGAACATCTTCCTGAGCAGTTGGGAGCCCTGTGGATCCTGTTGACAGCATTTCTTCTGCCTGGGGCCATTTGGCTACTCACAGAGGGAAGGGACTGTGGATCTTAAAATGTCTGTCAGCGTAAACAGGGGCAGACGTTGGAGAGTGACGTGTGTCCTCTGTCTCCCTCTCTCCCCCACCCTTCAGAGGGCCAATAAAGGCAGCAAGGTCATTGAGAGGTTGAAAAAGAAGCTCTCCGAGCAGGAATCCCTCCTACTGCTGATGTCTCCCAACATGGCCTTCCGGGTACACAATCGCAATGGCAAGGTGAGTGGGTCTTCTGGTCTCCCTCAGTGTACAAGACAGAGGTCAAGGGGTGTGGGTGTGTGTGTTTGTGTACGCTGTTGTACAAGGAGGTCTTCATGCCTTCTACTGTCTGGCCTGAAAGCACTTTCCAAGCAGCAGACACCTAATCCTTGCTACACCAAAGGTTGTGATGAGGTCTTGTAAGGCTATGACTAATTTATATGCAACATTGGCATTTAAAAAATAACGTTAGAAATTAATCCCCTACCTCAGCACCTGCCCTGGCAGAGCAATAGGAACAGCTCTCTTCACCTAAGATAAAGCTCTGCAGCAGCTGCCTTCTAGACTCCCGTTCAAATTCAAGGCTTAGCACACTCAGGGCTGTCTCCTCGGGACTGTATGCTGCACTTGGCACCAGGGATGCTGAATGGTTGTGAACAATCTCCTTTAGCACTGTGGGATGCTCAATGTGCCAGAGGTATCCCCTGCTCTGGCAGTGCTGTAACTTGTCACTGTGGCCTTTCCATGCACATGGCAAAGGATTCTCACGAGAATCCTCTTATCACTCAGTGAAAATTCACAAGCTGGTCACTGCTTCCTCAGCTTGCATCAGTGTCTAGGCCTGTGATAGAGGCTTTTGGGTTTCCTGGTGCAACTGTTGTGAGGCATAGCACAGAGCTGCCATGGGACCTCATGTTGCCAGGGATGCAGCTGTTGTTTTGCAGGGTGGACCTCTGTGAAAGCTCTGACTGCAGGAGTCCATGTTGGTACCGCTAGCCCATTGCTGAGAAGGCACATTGACAGAGTCCTCTGTCACTGACAAAGCTGTGATGTAGCTAGAAGGACAGTATATCCAATAACTGCCACTGGAGGAGGGTGGTAGGCAGGCAGGCCTGCTCTCAGTGGTCAGTCAGACTAATGCATATCCCATTTTCTTCTGTTTTCCTGGGTAGAGTTACACGTTCCTCATTTCGTCGGACTATGAAAGGGCAGAGTGGAGGGAGAACATCCGGGAGCAGCAGAAGAAATGTGAGTGTCTCTCAGCTGGGCATTGGTACAAATACTGTGATCTTATTAAAGAGCAGGAGTCCAGAGGATGAGGTATGGGGCAGGGTTACTTGCGAAAAGAGAGATATGTGTTGAAATCCACAGCACAACTTGGATGTCTTCTGTCTCCGCACATCTGAGCTTTCTGGGGGACTTTTGCTTGCAGCAACATGTAGGGAATGTGTAGGGAGAGCACTTAGTAAGTGTGTGGAGCTACTCTCCCATTTACCCTAGAGATCAGAGCTCTGTGCAGTTCCAGGTAGAGGGAACAGCTGCGCCCTTTTACCTGGCTCCAGTCCAAAGAAACTTACTTACTTTTTTGGCATGGGAGTTTTTTGGCTTTGCAAGAAAATAAGAGCCCCTCCTTGTTTCCTGTGAACCATCCTGAGACTTTTTACTCCAAGGAGTAATTCTGCTGAGCGTTGCCCAGGGGGCACCTATCCTATGTATGCCCAGAATGAGGGAGCATGCATCCAGCCTCTGCTTTGAATTTTAATTCCTCCCTCTTTGAATCTCCTTTGCAGGCTTTAAAAGCTTCTCACTCACATCGGTGGAACTCCAGATGCTGACAAACTCCTGTGTGAAGCTTCAGACAGTCCACAACATCCCCCTCACTATCAATAAGGAAGGTGAGACCTTTATGCTTTCACATGGTACAGCTGCAGTGAAAACCTACCTCTGCCTGCTTTTGTGCATTTCCCCTAGAACTGCTCTTACTGTTTCTTTTTGCTACAGGGTTCAACCGGGTGATGAGTTACAAACTGAGAGTTCCTGTAAAACAAAAGCTGAGACCATATGTACCCAACTTGTGTAATTTAGTTGAAGTAGATGATGGCGTACAAAAAGAGAGCAGCAGGAACAAGAACAATCTGTCATCCCACTGTTACTTGCTGCAACAATAAAAACACAAGATCCAAATTATATGGCTACATCTAAATTAGTAAAATATTCCTGGACATCCTTCCGAATATATTCATTAACTATTAAATGGTCTTTACATGCAGCCATCATGACGGGGATTGGAGTGCCTGTTGGAGTCCTAGCCTGGGACAACTTTGAACTATGCCTGGGAATCCTTTGGAAGAACACTAATTGGCCAAAATTGTGTCAGAGACCATCCTAAATTACTATTTAATCTTCTAGTATAGACTTAGCCTCTATATTTTACTTTTTCTCCCTTGAATTTCTTTCATGATGTCTTGCTGACCCTAGAAATGTCACTGTAAAAGCCACACATTGCCAGAAGGTATTACAGGTGAAACTGACACTGAACCTGGAACAGTCTCCTCTTTTGCTGAAATGGCTAGATTACATGCTCCTGCCATCCTTTTTAGGGACAGTTTACCCTCTGCTCATTAACCTGTGTAATATCAGTCTCATCACTCTGTCTTTCACTCTTGGCTTCTCTGTGAATGTAACAAAATTCCTTGGGTTTTTGTACAGATGATGAATCCCCAGGTCTCTATGGATTCCTGAATGTCATTGTCCACTCTGCTACAGGATTCAAGCAAAGTTCAAGTGAGTTGCAATTCTGTAATACACAGAGGTATTGACAGGGGTTAGATAATTAGGGTGCTGTGACAGCTGGGCGTGGACCCATTTAAGATTGCAGCATCTGGGATGATGGTGAGGAGGAGAGGTGATTTGGGGAATTGGAATTGAAATCGGGGCATTGGTGTAAATTTAGGGGAATGCAATTTTTTAATGCTACTACTAACTCTCAGAAAGATCAGGATCAAGGATCAAGCATGCAGCATTATTTTTTTGGGGCCTAGTCTATTGGTATTTTTTTTAAGCAGTGTTTGCTAATTACCCAACAGTTTTGGATACAAGTCAGCCCTTATCTCGCTTTCTTTCAGCTGTATTTTGTTTTGCAATGAAAGAATGGGAAGCATTCTTTGACATACAGAATTCTTAGTGTGAAGAAAGAGGTGTTAAAATTCAGGGGGGTGATTTGACAGAAGGATCAAAAAAGGTGAAAAAATAGAGTGAAGTGGACAACTGTAGAAATAAACATGCTTCTCAGCCATTGATGAGGATAATCTAAGAACAGCTGCAAAGCTTACCTAGCCATGTGGCTGGAGATCCTGTTCTTATCTAAGCTGCATGTGCAGTCTCAGGAGGAAAGGAGTGAACTGGACGTACATGCTTTCTATCAGCCTTCCTCCTGCTGA